ACCTCACCGGGGCCGTCTCGACCTCACTTTTGCCGTCTCGACTTCACCGGGGCCGATTCAAGCTCACTGGGGCCGTCTCAGCCTCACCGGGGCTGTTTCAATCTCACCGGGGCCGTTTCAACCTCACCGGGGCCGTCTCAACCCCACTGGGGCTGCCTCAGCCTCACCGGGGCTGTCCCAGCCTCTTGGGGGCCGTCCCAGCCCAACGGGGGCCGCCTCGGCCTCACGGGGGCCATCTTGGCCTCACGGGGGCTGTGTCAACAACACAAAGTTTGGTATACTGTCCTTTGTTGGGCGGCTCCTTTCTGGACAAAATCTCCAGGCGTTCCTGGTGGCTGAATATCTGGTATGGCCGACGCTCTATCCACTGAGCCAAACTGGTCAGGGCAGGGCTGGGGCTTTTATTTATTTTATTTATTTTTATTTCTTTTTCTTATTCATACTTTTTTAAATTTTTTGTACCCAAGTAATACATGTGAATAAAGCACAAACTGGCAGCAGCATTGAGGCCCACTAAGCCACATCCCCATTGCCATGGAAGGCCCCCACAACGTTGTGACCTGTGTACAGAAGTTTCTCGAAACCATATCTTTTGGTATTTCCTACTGATACAGAGCATGATTTCAAACCTGCTAGACGGGCCTTTTTTTTTCTTTCTATTTTCTTTTTTTTAAAAAAATTATTTCTTAGAGTGTTACAAAGAGTATTACACATGTCTCCTTTTTTCCCCCCTTGACATTCCCCCGGCCTCCCCTACCCCCCAGTGTCTTGTGTCCATTGGTTATGCTTATATGCATGCATACAAGTACTTCCATTGATCTCTTACCCGCCCCCCTCCCACCCCTCAACCCTCCCTGGCCTTCCCGCTGTAATTTGACAGTCTGTTCGATGCTGCTCTGCCTCTGTATCTATTTTTGTTCATCAGTTTATAAAGGTCTTTATTATTCATAAATGAGTAAGATCATGTGGTATTTTTCTTTTATTGACTGGCTTATTTCACTTAGCATAATGCTCTCCAGTTCCATCCATGCTGTTGCAAATGGTAAGA